ACTCTTGAGTCTGATATAAACAATGCAATCAGCATTCATTCAAACAATAAAAAAACTCCTTTATATATCTAAAGTATCATCTGTTATAGGTTACAGAAGGGAATTTGTAATGTTTTCCATTCGATAAAGACCTCAATTTGCTATAATAGGTCATTTAAATGTCAGGCTATAGTTATTTTATATGCTGGTGCATGGGTGTGGGTGAGATCCTTGAAAAACCTTTTTCATCTCAAGTGATCTGTGAGAAAATTCTTAACCACTCAACACAAAGTTCAGTGTGGAGTCTTTTGAGAAGTCCAGTGATATTTACAAATCCATGGAAACTCAAAAAGAAAATTATTTTAATTGTTTTAATATATATATATATATATATATATATATGTGTGTGTCTATATAAATATAAATAAATAAATATATATATATATATATATATATATATATATATATATATGTGTGTGTGTCTATATATAAATACAAATAAATATATATATATATATATATATATATATATATATATATATATATATATATGTGTGTGTCTATATAAATTTAAATTATTTATATATATATATATATATATATATATATATAAATATAAATAAATAAATATATATATGTGTGTGTCTATATAAATAAAATAAATATATATATATATATATATATATATATATATATATATATAAATATATATATATATATATATATATATATATATATATTATATGCTGTACTTATTAGAAAGCGCTCAATATCAGAGATAGAACTAACATATTTGGTTGGATTGATGTGAGTTTGTGACCCTAGGTTTCACGTTTTTGCGATCCTCAGACAAACAATCGTAAAAGCGTGAAACCCAGGGTCACAAACTCACATCAATCCAACCAAATATATATATAAGCTAAAAGTCAGATTTAAAAATAAAAATGGAAGTAAAAAATAAATTTTAATAAGTAGAAATAAAATATAAAAAATTTCAATTTCTCATGAACAATTTATAGAATTATAAAATCTTTTCACCTCAATATGCAAATATATTGTAGATTCAGTTATCAGAATATAATATTCTAGAAGGGATAACCAGCATTGTCTAAGAAAAAATAAATTCAAATACAAGATTAGTGTTGATGATTTGTTTTGATCTTTTTTTTAAAATCAATTTTTTTTTTTATTTAAATTAGATTTTTTTAAATTTTTTTAGATTGTTGCATATAAAAAGAGCAAAAGAAAGTAAAACTGATAAGAATAGCTTGAGAGATTAAGATAATTCGGGGTTACCAAATTAACAATTTTTGGTTATGTCTGGCTGACTTTTTCCGAATTTAATCAATAAAAATCTAGATTTCATTTTTACCATTTTTTAAGGTTTTGGCTGTATTCTATATTTAACTTACAATTTTGTTTTTGTTGATTTTTTTTTCAGATAATGTCATACAACCATTTTATTTTATTCTTATAGCATTTTAAAATAACAGTTTGGCATAGTGATCATTTATTGAGCATTTATGATTGATTTGTACATAATCTTGTAATTTTTTTCACAGGTAGTTTATTGTTCCAGTCAAATCCATTACATTCACTTATGTGCTAATATCCTTGGGTAAGGTATTAATCCTCTTCTTCTCCCCCCCAAACTATGGGTAAATAGCAGAACAGACCTGTTCTATAGCCTTAGATGGCAACTGGTCTACTGCAGAATGAAATGGCAACCTACTGCGAGAAAAAAAATCTGCCTCGTCGGTCATGTATCGAAAGATACATGATCGTCTATGCATGTATCACACATAGCACATAACTGAACTGAGTTTATTGACAACACTGCCAGCCAGTGTTATTTTTTAAACTTAGATTTAGGTTTTTCAATTCCTGTATGTTGTTTTTCAACTTAGTAATTTGAAAGTGTATTGAGCAGTGATATACTTTCTAAGCAACTTGTGTCAGCAGTGGCAAATGAGTTTTCTCATCCTATGGACTGGTGCATTCTTAACAGAGTAACTGTCTTGGTACAAATAAAGCAGCAAAACTTGTTATTATGTTAATTTAACCATGCACACATGGACTCTCCCAGCTATAAATAGGAGCAGGTACTGCCTTTTGGAGAGTGAAGTTTCCAGCAGTCAGCTGTGACAGTCGGACTGAACATTCTTGCTGTAATACATTCATTTGTATATGTTTGCATTACTGTTTCTGTCAATATATTTGTTTAACTCAATTCCTCTTTTTGAATCTTTATTTCTGGCCCTAACAAGGCCACAACACTTGTCTTTCTACTTAAATCCATAAATGCAAACACTACTCATGTTGAATTTTAAAATTTGTTAAATGGTTAAAATTTTATTTTATAGTAAAAAAAATGATTCAGTTGATTAAGAAATATTTGATTTAATATGTTTAATGCTTTTCTTCCTTCATGAAATTACATGAAAACAAAAAAAATATTTTATTTCTAAATATTTGCTTTAAATAAAGATTTTTGTAAAATCAATTTTAGTCAGTGATTTAAAAACATTATTTGTTTAATTATGGAAGGGATAACAGATATTAAAATATGAAGATAATCTCATGAACTAACATTTTAACATGTTAGAAACAATTTTCATGAAAACCAAATTAGTTACATTCCATTATTGCTGATAGGACTGTGAACTGCCACCAGTCACAATGAATGGATGTTCCCTCAAGTAGACCCCATGCCTTGAGCGACTATTGGGCTTTAAACTTTCCCCAGACCTGAAGTGGAACTCGTACATACAGTCCATCGTTAAAGAGACAGGAATTAATGGTCAGTCCCCTGTACTGCTCCTTGTGTTACCCTCTGCTTCTACAAGAGCCAGATCAAGCCATAAATGGAATACTGCTGTCATAGTTGGGCCAATCTGCCCAATTCTCACTTACAGTCCAAAAGTGTCGCTGTGTTCCTGTGGGTGATAAATTATTTTCTACCCTACAACACATTTCTCACAAATGAGATGTAGCAAGCCACTCCTATCTGTATAAACTTTGCCTCTTACTCTGTAGCACTCCAAGGCCATGTACAGGGTAAACCACACTGCAAAAAAAAAAAAAAAAAAAGTCAAAGCATCCTTTCCTGTGTAAATGAGATGTCACAAGCCTCTCACTACTTCCATGAAAAGTGCTCAGACAAACTACATTCCTTAATGCCACCAGTCCTAACCTTGACAACTAGGACCCACCATGCCACTCACATTGTAGCAAACCACCCAGATCTCTTCCATGTTCCTGTGGTGAGAGATAAGTTCTACTCAAGCAGCTTCTTACCATGAACCACTGCTCTGTAGATGTTTCCTCGATCACTACAATCTTAACCTGTTCAAGTCTAGAGTTAACTGTTATCTTTCCCACCTATCCGCATAAACTGTGGCTCTTACTCTGTAGCTCTACCTTGAGTGGTCCTCAGGCCTTGTACAGAGTGAACATCATTGGGAATAAAAAAAAAAGTCAAAGCATCCTTTCCTTTGTAAACAAGAAAAAATGACTGCTTGCTCTTAATCTGATCTGCATTTGAATATATTATTGTTATTATATTACTATTTTTGTATTTTGTTTTCTTTTTAATTGGTATGTATATTCATTTTATTATCCTTGATTCATCATCATGATTATCATCATCACCTTGACTTTTGTAATCGTAGGGCAGACCTGAATGCAGAAGCCACACTAACTCTTTTCTGCAATGGTCTATTAACAGCAGCCATCAGCAATTCTGGTATAGTCATACCTGTCCATTTTTTGACATTTATCCTGGAGTTTCAAAAAGAGATGAGCAAAACATTTAACTCTAATCTTTTTTTTTATGTACACATTTTTTTCTTGCTTTTTAATTACATATTTTATATATGTCTGTCTTCCATGTCATAGTATCAAAATAATGTTTTTTTCCTTGATACCATTATCACTTTAACTACCTTCACTCCTCAACAATGTTTACTGTTTTAATAGGTAACAAATAAAAGGAATTTGTTAAAAGGCATGATCACTTACACTCTGCAGGAAAGTGGCAATTAAAACAAAAAGAATGAAGTGAAGCACTGTGTTGAAATGGAAAATTATTAACAAAAGGATATATCTGTAATATTTGTAAAAGATTGTTTGAAAACCTTATGGTACTAATGCTGTGAGAAAACACCAGTTGTGATGAATAGTTGTACCCTATATGAGGGTCATTTCTTGGAATGTCTATTGGGGGACACTACGGACCTCACGTGGGGCTTGTATGATCAATCACGAAAAATGCTGCAAAAATGTTCAGCTTCTTTTGCCACTATAGAAAGTACCTGGCTCCTCCTGCCATGCCCTATCTCTAAAAGAACCAGATCAAACCAAAAATGGAGTATTGCTGCCACACCTGAACTGGACATGCCCAATCCTTACTTTCCATCTTCAACTGTGTTTTCAAAAGCATTTGCGTAGTATTATGGGGAATGAATTGAATTCCACCCTTCAACTCCTTTTCCACAGGCGGAATGTTTCTAGCTTCTCACTACTCTACCACTATTTTCATGGCGAATGTTCAGGTGAACCATATTCCTTGGTTCCACTAGTCCAAACCTTCACAGCTAGGATCTACAATGCTACATCCACAGATTTGACTCATCCTCATTCCCTTCATATTCCAGTGGTAAGGATTAAGTCCCATTCAGGGTGCTTCTTCCCCTTCAGAACTGTTGTAATGTGGAACAAACTCCCAAGGGGATGCTTTTCTGGTCACTACAATCTTAATCTCTTCACATTCAGGATCAACTGTTATCTATCCTATATATCCTTTTAATATGCAACCTTTGCACCCTTCCTATATGCCTTTACAAAATTCACCTTCATTAAGCCTCTACCTTGAGTGGCACTTAGGCCTTGTATTGGATCAAAAATAAAAAAAATAAAAAATCCCCACAGTACTAATGGAAGGTCAATATAACTTGGACAATGAAAAGTTGGTTTTAAACTAAGCAAGAAATGGTCAATACCATCGCAATATAAAATAGGCTTATGGCCACATCACATTGAAACACCAGTTCTTGTAAGATCACAGAAGTTAAGCAACATTGAGACTGGTCAGTACCTAGATAGGTGACCACTTGGAAATACCAGTTTCTCTAAGCTTGGATCTGAAGGTAGTATAAGGAATAATGTCTCAGAATTGTTCATCAGAGAGCCAAGTTCCGATTCCTGTTGGGATGGTTATATTATTAAACAGAACATCCTTACAATCTAAAAATATTTTCTGGCTTTAAATAACCTGAAAAAGGTTGATAAGCCATAAAAAGTAAATTAATCATTAATATAAAATAATCACCAAACTGTAGCCTTTTCTAATCAACTTTGTATGTTTATCTGAATAAAAACAAATATACATTAAAATAAAAAAAAAAAATGATTTTTATATAGACTTTAGAAGCCAGATATTTTCAGTTGAAATATGGCAGATGGAATTTAATATTACCATATTTACTGCAACATGGTGCACATGAATAGACGACATCTCTCACTCCAAATATATTCATGCAGCTGGTTCTCCCAGCTGTATTTTGTATCATATTCCACATGATAGATGATACATTATTTAAAATTCCCAATGGTCTCTTTGAACCAACATAAAAAATGATGGATTTGAAAACTTAGTATTTTTGGTACATTAAACACTCACACACATATCTTTTTGTATAAGTTAAAAAAAAAAGTTTCTTCTCTAGTGTGGGTTATGAAGACTATTTCAAAAAGAAACTTGGTTAAACAGTAATTTGGTAAATATACCAATTTAAAATATTGCCTGTTTACTCATCAATGCTTTAGTGAGAGAAGACATTGTATAACTTATAGGAATCCATTTAATAAGAAAAAATACATGTGGAGTAATTGATAGTAGCTCAGATTGAGGAATCTGAGAGCCAAGTTCAAATTCTAGTCAGATCCATTACATTCACTTATGTGTTAATACCCTTAGGAAAGGTATTAATCTTCTTCTCCACTCCCTCAAATATAGGTAAATAGCAAGATAGACCAAGTTCTGTTGTCTTGGATGGCAACTGGTCTACCACAAAAAGAAATGGCAACCTGCTGCAGGAAAAATCTGCTTTGTCAGTCATGTATCAAAAGATACATGATCACCTAAGCATGTATCATGCATAGCACATAACTGACTAACATGTAAAGAGATGTTATGACTAAAAACTCCAGGTTCTGTCTGGCAAACAAAACTATAGAATCATGTGGCAAACATGGACCTTTGTGCCCTAAAATAAAAGAAAATCAGTGTCAAAAGATGTTTTTATCCATGCCTTGAGTGCCTATAGTGTATACTATATGTATGTGTATTCTCAAGATTCTTGACAAAATTCAAAGAATAGTCTGTAATATAATTAATCCTGACATCTCAACTTCAAGCACTTTCCCACCGATGTGATGCGGCTTCCCTCTGTTCTAATGAGCTTTTTTACTCAATGTATTGACTACATGACTTCAAGTGGACTACTAGATTGGCAACTAGGTCTCAGGGTTTTACTGTTGAACTAACTAAATGTAACAGTCATTTCTGTAACTAATATGTTCTTTTCTCACATTTCTCACTTGTGAAATTACCTTCCAATTTCTTGTTTCCCTGCCACCTACAATTTTCAAAAATTTAAATGCAATGTCAATCGCCATCTGTCTTCCTGACCTTTTATTGTTCTTTCCTCAGTACAGTCTTTTCATTCTCTTGCACTCCCTGTAACCACCTGCACCCGAGTGGCATTATTGGTTTGCTTGGGAGGAAATGATTAAAAAAAAAAAAAAATAAAAATAAAAAAAATAAAAAATACACTATTGGCACACTCTCTGACAGTAACTGCACACACACACTTACATATATATAATATGTTTTTATTACTTAAACATTATATTTAGTGGATACTAGTATTTAAGTTGATGTTCCGTCTATTTATTAAACAGTATATTTATTTTCCTATACTGACCTGAATATTCAAGAAATCTTATTAGAAAAATATGCATTCTCTCTAATAAGATTTAATATTTTACTAGTAGATGAAAATAAATAAATATACTGTTTAATAAATAAATGTAGTGTCTTCTCAAACATGAGTACCCACTAAAAATAGTGTTTAAGTAATAAAATCTGTTGGATTAATTAAAAAATTTATTCCTTTACTATATATATATATATATATATAATATATATAATTAATATATTTTATTACTATATATATATATATATATATATATATATATATATATATATATACAGTGTATCACAAAAGTGAGTACACCCTCACATTTCTTCAAATATTTAAGTATACCTCTTCATGGGACAACACTGACAAAAATGACACTTTGACACAATGAAAAGTAGCCTGTCTGCAGCATATATAACAGAGTTAATTTATTTTTCCCTCAAAATAACTCAAAATATAGGCATTAAAAGCTAAATCCCTGGCAACAAAAGTGAGTACACCCCTTAGGAAAAGTTGTCAATATTAACATACAACATGTCAACTGTCAATATTTTGTGTGGCCACCATCATTATCCAAAACTGCCTTTACTCTCCTGGGCATGGCGTTTACCAGAGCTTCACAGGTAGTCACTGGAATGCTCTTCCACTCCTCAATGACAATGTCGCAGAGCTGGCGGATTTTTTGAGACTCTGCGCGCATCCACCTTCTGCTTGAGGATGGCCCAAAGATGTTCTATTGGGTTCAAGTCTGGAGACATGCTTGGCCAGTCCATCACCTTTACCCTCAGCCTCTTCAGTAAAGCAGTGGTTGTCTTGGATGTGTGTTTGGGGTTATTGTCATGCTGGAACACTGCTCTGCAACCCAGTTTCTGGAGGGAGGGGATCATGCTCTGCTGCAGTATTTCACAGTACATGTTGGAGTTCATGTTTCCCCTCAATGAAATGTAACTCTCCAATACCTACAGCACTCATGCAGCCCCAGACCATGACATTCCCACCACCATGCTTGACTGTAGGCATGACACACTTATCTTTGTACTCCTCACCTGGTCGCCACCACACATGCTTAAGGCCATCAGAACCAAACAAATTAAATTTCGTCTCATCAGACCATAGGACATGGTTCCAGTAATCTATGGGCTTTGTTGACATGTCTTCAGCAAACTGTTTGCGGGCTTTCTTGTGTATTGCCTTCAGAAGAGGCTTCCTCCTGGGGTGACAGCCATGCACACCAATTTGATGTAGTGTGCGGCGTATGGTCTGAACACTAACAGGCTGAATCCCAATCTCTTTAATCTCTGCAGTAATGCTAACAGCACTCCTACGCCGATCTTTCAAAGAAAGCATTTGGATGTGACGCTCAGCACGTGCGCTCAGCTTCTTTGGACGACCTACCCGAGGCCTGTTCTGAGTGGACCCTGCTCTTTTAAAATGCTGGATGATCTTAGCCACTGTGCTGCAGCTCAGTTTCAGGGTGTTGGCAATCTTCTTGTAGCCTTGGCCATATTTATGTAGTGCAACAATACGGTTTTAAGATCCTCAGAGAGTTCTTTGCCATGTGGTGCCATGTTGGAACTTTCAGTGACCGGTAAGAGAGTGTTAGAGCTGTACTACAAATTTGAATACACCTGCTCCCCATGAACACATGGGCATAGTTACACTAATGAGTCACATGACACTTTGGAGGGAAAATGAAAAGCAGTACTCAATTTAGACATTTAGGGGTGTAGTTTCTTAGGGGTGTACTCACTTTTGTTGCCAGGGATTTAGCTTTTAATGGCTATATTTTGAGTTATTTTGAGGGGAAAAGAAATTAACTCTGTTATATATGCTGCAGACAGACAGACTTTTCATTGTGTCAAAAGGTAATTTTTTCAGTGCTGTCCCATGAAGAGATATACTTAAATATTTGAAGAAATGTGAGGGGTGTACTCACTTTTGTGATACACTGTATGTATGTATGTATATATATATATATATATATATATATATTCAGTTGTATGGATATGAGTTTGTGACCCTGGGTTTCACACTTTTGTGATCATCAGGCAAATTGTGTAAGTATAAGAGAGAGAGAGTGTGTATGTGTGTGTGTGTTTATTTAGGCAGTAAATTCTCTTTTTGGCATGTTTGGGCATTCATCCATTGTGAGACATCTACAGCAACATTCCAGTCCACATTGACAATATAAAAAATTACTAATCGACAACACAACTATCCTACACAATGAAAACAACAAATTCAAACTACAGATACTAGAAGCAATTTATATTAAAAAATTAAAGCCGGCACAAAACATAACCAACTATTAATACTGCAGTAATGTTATGAAATGCCTGTAAAGGAACAGTTTTTTCATGCTTTAATAACACGGAAAAAATTTCCATAATGGATAATTTTTTTACATTCTAATGAACACTCAGCACATTGTCAATTCTTTTGCATTTAAAAGCATAATGAAAAATTTACAGTAATGGATAATACACAGCTTTGTATAAATACTTGTACTAATGAACAACATATAGTTTTGTACTACTTGCACTCCTGAAGATGATCTTGGAAGAAGATTGAAAGTACTTGGGAAATGAAAATAAATGAAATTTAAACAGCTATAGCACATTTCTGTCATCCTTTAACATCAATACACAGAAGGTTATTCATGAGTATAAACGGATTTTGTTAAAAATTAGCAGACATAATGTTTGTAATTTATTCAATTATATATATGCAGTCTCTTACACTACCTTCAAATTAGTGAATACTGAATTTTCACCTATCACAATGAAAAAATGTTCTTTCAAGGAGGCCCTGTACCTTGAGTGCATATTGGAATTTAAACTCAACTCAACCTCAACTCATACATATGATCCATCACTAAAGATGCCAGTAAGTACCTGACTCCTTGTGTTATCCTCTAACCAGATCAGACAGAAAATGGAGTATTGCTGACATATATGGGCAGAAGCTGCCCAGTCTTCACTTACCAGTTTTGATAGAGTCCAAAAGTGTCTCCACGTCCTTGTGGGTGATGAATTATTTTCCATCCTACAACTCTTTTTTCACAGATAAAACATTGCAATTCTATTGATATTTCCATGGAAAGTGCTCAGATGAACTATATTTCTTAGTTCCACTAGTTC